TTGTCGAGGTGCGTTTAGTTGTTTTTATTATTAATTTAAATGATATAAATAGTAATAAATAATATATATAATAATAAATAATATATAATAATAAATGATAATAAATAATATAAATAATAATAAATACTAAAAATTCAGCAACGGGTGGTTATCGTCAGCGATTCACGCAATGGAGCTGTCGCAGATGTTAACGCAGGCGATGTACACGAACGAGTCGTATATGAAGCAGATACCGCATTGCACACCTGCATTGTTAGAGCGCTGCAATGAGAAGGTTTATTTTTATTATTTATTATTATTGTTTTTTATTATTTATTATTGTTATTTATTATTGTTTATTAATATTATTTATTAATATTTATATTATTTATTATAGAAAGTGTCGACGGTATTCGATCTGCTGGATCTGGAGGACGACGTGCGCAGCGAGCTGCTGCAGATGAACGCAGAGCAGATGCTGAACGTGGCCAAGTTCTGTAATAATTACCCGAGTATTGAGGTCGAGTACAGGATCGAGAATGACGGGACGGTTAATATGTTGGTTTTTTATTTATTATTTATTATATTTATTATTTATTATATTTATTATTATTATATGATGTATGTGTATAATAATAGTATAATATAATTGAATAATATAAAATATAAAGTTATATATAATGATATAAATAATAATAATGTTATAAATAATAATATAATATTGGTGAGTGTATAATAATATAAAATAATAATTGAAGTATAAATAATAAATATAAAATAATAATAATAAATATAAAATAAAAAATAATAAATATAAATAAATATAAAATAAAAAATAATAAATATAAAATAATAATAATAATATGAAATTGAAGAGGTGATACCGTGAGTGTATCGGTGGAGATGGATAGAGACAACGACCAGAACGGGATGGCACCCCCGGTCATAGCACCGTTATTCCCGCAGAAGAGGAAGGAGGAGGGATGGTGGCTGGTCATTGGAGATAGTGCAACCAACTCGTTGTTCTCGATTAAGAGGTATTTTAGTTATTTTTTATTATTTATTTATTATTTTTATTGTTGTTATTATTTATTATTTATTATCATTGTAATTAATTTCAGGTTGACGGTGCATCAGAAGGCGAAGATGACGTTGGACTTTACGGCGCAGAACGCGGGCAAAATGAATTATAAATTGTATTTTATTTGCGACTCGTATTTGGGTGTCGACCAGGAATTCGACCTGAAATTCCGAGTGGAGGGTGGGTTTTGAATTTTTTATTATTTTAGGTTGTATTATTTTTATTATTTTTTAATATTATTATTTATTATTATTTGTCATTGTTATTATTTTATTGTTATTGTAATGAAGAATTGAAAATTTCAGAGCCTGGAAGAAGCAGAAAGAGACCGCGAGATGAGGATTAAGAATAGGGCTTGAGAGGTGTCGTGGCGTTTAGCCCATCCCGGATTTGGCACATCGATCCGGGGTGTTTTGTATTATGACGTCATTATTATATATTGTTTATTGATGTTACTTTTATTGTTTTTATTATTGTATTATTTTTGTGTTGTTTTTGTTGTCATTGTTTTGTCTGTATGAAAATTGTTCGTTATTATTATTATTGATTGAATGAAATATTTTTGAGAAGAATAATTTTGGCATTATTTAAGTTTTGGGAGATTGCCAGAATTGGGTTTTATCCTCGAAAATTGAATTTAAGGAAAGGAATAGTGGAAATTTTTCATAAGTTGGGGAGATTTTTTAGAATTTTTTGAAATTATTGATTGAGGAATTCAATTTCAGGTTACGTCCAGGTCTTAATTTCAGGTTATTTTTAGAGGATTGTAGTGGAGAAACGGAATTTTTCATGAATTTTTTGGAAAACTGAAAATTTAATTATTACTCCGTTTCTTTGATTTGATTGATCTGTTGTTCGATAACCTC